ATATTTTGTAGTCTTGATTTAGTAAGATAAATAATAAATATAAAGGAGAATTAACGTCTGTTGGTTGTAAAATTACCGAATGTCACATGGAAAACACAATGGAAAATAAAACTTAGCCAGCATTAGACATCAGAGTGCGTGCCAATCAGAACACAGTAAAGTGTGTTAAAGGTTAACCTCGTGGCATATGTTGAAAAGCTGTGAGCAACAGTGAGTAAAAAACGGAGTAAATGCGGTCTAGCATGACTAGCCTTAATTTGGCAAGGTAGTGATTTCTATACTTCCATTTAGTATTGCATCGCTTTGCAGGTTGTTCTGCTTCAAATTACGGTAAACAATAAACAACGTGATCTGCAGAAATCGTAATAATTTGTACATGATTTGTCATCAGTATTATTTAAAAGAAGAAAATTCCTACTACCAGAAGAATAATATCAGATCAAAATTCTCCGAATTGGAAAGTTTACCAGTATAACTACTGTCTGCTCTCCTCCTCTATAGGGGAAAATGTAGGCCATACGTAAGCCTAAATGACATCGAAATTCGAAAATACTGAATGCCCACTAGGTTACCTAGCTAGCGAACTAAACACAGTTTTAAAACATGATCGATTTAATAATAAGGTAGGATATAACAAAACAATAAAGTTCTAACATTGTTTATTTAGTAAATTGCAACATTGCTTATGCGTTGAAAGCTGGTAAACTATATTTCAATATTGTTTACACATTGATTATCAGCCCGACGATCCAGCCTACGATCATTGCAAACTAATTAAAATAACAATGACCTTCGTAGTGGTTCGTAGCTACGTTCCAAACGGTACCTACGAGCAGGCTACGAGTGGTTACGTGCAGATACAAAGCGATATTTCCTGACTGTACTGTACCTATCAGAAGCTTGCCATTTGATTACCATGGCAATAGACTGAGAGATACCACAGCCAAACATAATGTGTGGTGAGCCTTTTTGACATAGCAAATTTGCATGTACTACTAATACATTAATAATTCATTAAAAAAAACTAAAACAATTAATAAACATTTATATTGTGTAGAAATTTATCTATTACCACGTAGACATAATATTTAGATTTAGAAAGCAAGTTTAAGAAAAAAAATTACGCACAAGGAGAGAAAGCCACATGGTCGACCTTTCACCTAGTGCCACTGGTGCGTGATTGTTTTTGTTTTTTGGATGAGGGCCAACTTTCACTGCCTAGACTTGAGAATGTCTGAAGTTGTTGATGTTTATTTAGAAATAGAACACATAAAAACCTATTTCATCATGAGTATACATGGAACACAATTAATATACTGTGTTTTAAAAGGTTAAATAGAAAGAGTGATGTAGGCGCAATGAATTTAAAAGGTAGGAATTAGTCCGGTAAACTTGTTTTCTGAATGAAGCTGTAACGGGTCTGTTACTGCTTATTGCCCTGGGGAGAACACTGATTATGACAAGTTATTGTACTGGTTATTGTCTTTATCTAAATTTTACTAGTCAACTAAATATACATATCTCGATTCGGAGGACCTACATTAATAATAACAATAATAAGGTAGGAACTTATATAGCGCCATTTAAAAAACCGAAGTAATTATCAGTGTAAATAAAATGCACTGCTGCATAGTATACACAGTAAATGTAAACCGATAAACTTTTAATTAAACAAATTTATTAAAATGAATAAGAAACCCTCGTGGTTTTGTTTTAGAGTAAAATCTAACAATAAATCTAACAAATTAAAATTTCATTCTCTGCAAATTCCCTCCGTAATTAGCAATGTTTTTGGGGAATGTGAGTGTAATTTACATGTAGACTGATATATGAATCTAATGACATACCAAATGCGAATTAAATGTCTACTGAAAAAGAGCCGTCGTAGAAACAATTGCTTTGAGTTCCTTTTTCATTTCAGGTTGATTATACAGTCGATTTTTAAGTATTCATAGGCAATAATGCACTTTATTAAAACAATGGAATGGACTTTATCCAACTCCCTGCTTTATCTAACATATTACTGGCGTGTCGTTTTAATTATTAATCTCCATGGCAATGCTATTGGGACTGTACGAACGGTTCATTTACAGGGTGTGATTATTGCGTTATTTCGTCTGGAAATCGTTGCATTGTTTATTAACTTTTTGTCCCACGTTGCATTGTGGAATGGATACATGACATGGATGTTTTAACTTCACGGTGCTCACAAAGACGGAAATCAACTTCTCCTTGTCACTATAACATGCGGAGAAGGTGATTTCCCTCTGTACGTCTAGCCATGGATTCCTCTATTGTCTAGGCTAGTACGTGATGTTCATCGGTTCGCCTTGAATGACTGAGACCGAGGCTGTTCGTAGCGGACATTAACATGACAATAAACAGAAAATAGCGATCTTGTTGACATTATCTGTGTGAAATATTTTTTAAAGACATCTTTAAGAGGTGAATGATTAAAGCTTTTGGTATTTAGTCAGACTTTCATTGACATTTTAACTGGTCACGCGGACTTGTTATTGGGATAATTAACAGATCCGCCATGCATTTTACTAGCCATTGGCCAGCGGACCAGCGTTATTTCGAATCCTGTGTATGTATAAGAAAGAATAGG